AATTTGGTTGATGTAGTAGTCAAGTATATTTCAGTAAAATATTAAATAATGACTGATAGTTATGTACAATAGTGAACTATAATACTTAGGTAGTATATATGTTTATAGTTATGTTAGAAATAGGTTGTCAGATAAATTAGTGAAGTTGAGGAATCATATGAAGATAAATGGTTTACTGATTCTTTTGTTGCTTGAAATGCGAAAATGTTATGCAGCGTCGCTCGAAGAAAGGAGCTCGGTTGTGCACAAGATGCCTTCGCAGAGGATACAACAAGACTTCCTGCAAGATGCCTATTAGGGAGCCGTCGTTGGATATCTAATTGGAGTATTTGTTGCTGTTGGGAAGCTTGGTCGGAGAAGCAGTTTTTTTTTTGTGTTTTACGAAAAGTTTAATAAATTTCAAGATGTGTACTTGAATATGATAATTTTCTTTTGTTTCTTGTTTCTAGTATACGGGGTGAAAGCGTGATTATAAACTATCTTTGCTTCTACTTTGTTGTCTTTGTCTGGTAGACATCTGTTTTACGGATTAGTTGCATTTGATGAATTTTGGTTGTTTTGGAAAAAAATTTTTTGTCGAAGATGTTTTGTTATGTAAAGGTTTATTAAAAAGGTAGATAGCAGTGTAATGAACTATGTAAACGTTAGTTAACTATCGAAAAAGGTTATATAGTTCACTATTTATTCATTTTTATATCTTTTTGTGTTGCATTGTATGATAGTTAGCTATCCTATATTCAAATAGTTAGCTATTAAGAGCATTGTATCCTATCTTCAAGTTAGCTATGCAATTCGCGCTTTATAAGTAAGAATAGTTAGCTATCTTATTTTCCAATAGTTAACTATTAACAGCATTGTATGACAGAAATAGTTAAATACGTATCTTCAATGGACATTATAGTTAGCTAATTATATACACTGTTAAATATAGCTAACCAAAACATATTTTAAGCTTAGCATAATTGGGTAAATCACATTTTGTAAAAAATATTTTACCTTTGTTAACTATGAAGAGCATTGTAAATAGTTAACTATGAAGTGCATCGTAAAAAGGTAACTATTGAGAGGATTGTATCCTATCTTCAAGTTACCTTTGTAATTTGCACTTTATAAGTAAGAATAGTTAGCTATTCTATCTTCAAATAGTTACATACGTAGTTCACTACGTACCTCTAATTTCAGTTGTTCATGAAGTTAATTATGTTAAACATTAGTTAGATATATATCAATAGTGCAAAGCAAAAAAACCTTGAAGTCGAAATTGTCATAAACGGCGATAAGCATATGTTAAGAAACCATATTCATGGAGATGATTTTCAAAAAAAAAACAAACGTTTCAATAGAGTAGTACCTAAATAAGCTAAACTACACGTAAGAGGGGAATTAAATTTCTCGAAAAGCTTAACACCGTAGTTCTTGCCAGCATTCTTGACACTTGTTTCGTCGAGGTTGGAGAAAAACGTAAGTATCCCAGATGCATGAAGCTCAAGTAGCAACATTGTAGCGATCTCATGTGAACCTACATACAACTCAAGTAGCAACAACGAAGTTAGTTTCAATAGACCGTGTAGTTATCTATTTATATACACTCTGTTAAATATAGCTAACTAAAACACATTCTAAGCTTAGCATACTTGGGTAAAATCACATTTTGTAAAAAAAACTTCACCTTCGCTTTTGATTTCCCATTCGCCCGCATAATTGAAAATATTGAACGGGCTAGTTGAGTCTGCTCGCATTTCAGAGTTGGTAGGACATCGCGTAATAAGAAACGCTAACGACACATCAAGAGGTAGCAGCGCATTCTGAAGTTCTGCCAATGAATATTTTGTAGGGTCTGGTTGCAGTACAATAATCTCATGTGAAGATAAGTCGATGCAAAGGCCGACCCAATGGTCATCTATGATATATGGGCAGTAGAGACACTCGACTTCTGTTAACCATTGACGGTCCTGCTTAACATATTTTGAAACCTTATTCGGAATCTTGTAGCTTTTCTTTTTCAAGTATGGGTGCATCTTGGAGACGTCGACAACAAAGACATGATCCACGAATTCAATCGGCTTAGATGTTGATCCTGTAAACTCCTCGAAAAAGCGATCGCGGACAAAAAGGAGTAGCTTTTCCATTAACTATTCTCGAAATGGGAAATTAAAAAAATGATTAGTTTTCAATGTAAAAATGAATGCTTAGTTAAAGAGTGGAAAAATGACATACATTGTCTGATAAACGCTTAGCTTGCTCCCATAACTGTGTAAAACAAGGTCTCGAAACTGAGAAATCGTAACCAACTTTCACAGTTCTGTAAGTAAATAATAATGTATGTACTCAGCTATTTGAAAGTAAATAGTCAACTATTTTTTTAAGCTATTCGATTGTAAATAGTCAACTATTTTTGTAAGTTATTCACTAAAATGTTAAACTATTCTTATGAACATTTTGCTTTCTAGCGCCTTGAGAAGCATTTCAAACACAGAATCATCTACATTAGGGACGGGGTTGTGACGAACAATGACAGTTAAGCTTGTCTTCGGTTGCTTGGCAGCTTAAGTGGTTGTGACTGGCAAGATTGGTGGCAACTTTCTTTTTGTTCTTCTTTCGTACCCCAGTTTCTTATTAGCTCTTCGTTTGAGGTAGTGGTTGATTCTGTTACTGCTGGTTTCACAAAAGATATTCCTTCCTACGTAAGTCCCAATGAGAAGCTGGGTGGTGCGAATAAAACTTTGAACTTGTCCTAGAATTAACAGAACGATAATTAACTAAGTAGTTAAGATATAAGACAATAATCTCAATAATTCACATACTATGTAATGATAGTCTTACTTTTGGTTGTGCATTCTTGGTGGGGAGAGGCTGTGCACCACCTTGGTTGGTTGTAGGGGCATCATTAGGTGCTCCTTTGGTTGCAAGTACTTCATTTACTACACCAATAATATCCTTGGTAAGAAGTTCCTAGTCAAAATACGAATACACAATCGAATAAGTAGTTGTAATCAATGGATAGTTCACTACAATACACAACAAGTTAATCAAATATGTTGAGAGTGAACTATATTAAGTAACACACTATGCATATATAGTACATCATTATATGGCTGTGGATAAGCTTATTTTGATCATGAATTATGTGGTTGAATAGATGCTGTAACATTTTCCCCGAACTCAGAAGGATCTACCGTCACATTATCTAGACCAGGACCAGGAGAATCATTGCCCATCTGTGGCTGAGCAGAAGACAAAAATATATATATTAATAGTTAACTATATTCAGTAACAAAATATGCATATATAGTTTATATGCATATGCTTACTTCCGATCCTGAATTTTCTAGTTATATAGCTGATGTAACATGTTTCTGAGACTTAGGAGAATCACCCGTAACCTTGTTAAGAGAAGCTTCAAGAATATCCTTGGCCATATGTGCCTGAGAAAAAGACAAAGATACGTAGGTAAATAGTTCGGTAAAACACAAAAATTTCATGTAGTAATAGTTAACTAAAAGTATTAATGGGGGGGGGATTACCTTTGGTTTGGACTGATTTGAGATTAATTCAGTTTCAGCATTGACCACTGATTTCTGCGACTTTATTAAATCAACTTCCTCGGACAGAACCTTTAGCTTATCAGTGAATTTGGCTTCAAAGTCTTTTAGTTTCTCAATCAACTGGTCGTACAGGACAAATGCAATATGGTAAATCATTGTTAGTTAGTAATTTCAAAGTATGTAGTTAATCGGATCAGACACAGGGAACACTTGCCTGTTGAGCTGTCAATAAGATCTTGTACGTCAAAAATAGTAAGCGGAGTGAGATTTTTCGATGTTTCTCCCTTGTCAATCTGAGTTTTTTTTCTTTTTACAAGGGTTCACATCTGATGCTTTACACTTGTTTTTCCCCTTTTTGGCATTGGCACTATCCTCTTCTTCGGCAGCTGGAGTTGTTGCGTCAATTCCGCCAGACCAAGAATCTTTTCTGAACATATGATTTTTCTGGAGAAGCCCTATCATATGCAAAACTTTATCATCCTCCTCCTCACCAGGCCAGGACAAGTCATCCCCTTCTACACTTTCAGCAGGAAGCGTATATGTGACGTTGTATATGCGACGTTTACCTGAAACAAAAATAAAATCGAGTAAACACAACAATAATTAACTGTTTTTTTAACATAGTTAGCTATTCCAAGGCCATAATTGACTACGTAAAGTAGGTTGTTATAAAAAGACAAAGTAAGAAAATGGTACCGGTCGATCATTCTCTAGTTTTTGAACCGATTTCATAACGATGTTTAGAGGCTTCTCAAATACTTCATTGTCGGAGTCATCTTCAAAATCGAGCGTTTCCTTTTTTTTGTTACTCTCTTCTATGGCAAATGAGACTATCTCGGGTATGCAACTCAATGCATCGAGTTCCAAACCATGAACGAAACCTTGAATTGCCATCGTTTGTTGACACATAGCAGATGGTTTTCAGGCCTT